TACTATGGAGTAGATTGTAAATTTGCAAGAAATAATAAAAAAAAAAAACTATTTGTGAGCCGATCGACTAAAAATGTTGGCGCCTCGACATCTCAGAGCCATGAGGGCCTCCAAGGCATGTTACAGGGATAGCTTTGCATTTTTTTTAATAGCATTGTATTGTTTTTGTCATGTTAACTTAATCAGGAAGTTGGAATAGAAGGAAATGAAAGAATAGCAGGAATAACAAAGGAGTTGGTGTAAGGTCAGTTGAAGGTTATAGAAAACTTTTATTGATTCCCCTCATTAACTTCTCTCGGGGCCCCTCGAACGCCCCCTGGTCTGTAGGCGCGGGCCCTGAGGACGTTTGGAGCCGAGAGGGATGAGGTAACAGTGAACTGGAGAGTATTCAGTGAGGAGCTTCATAGTTTGTTCTCTTCGCCAAATATTATTAAGGTGATTATATGCGCATAGCATGTAGCATGCAAAAGAGCCGAGTATTTCGTAAACGGTATTTGTCGGAAAACACGTCTTGGAAGACCTTGACAGGTATGGGAGTATAATACTAGAAAGATCGTAAGTGTTTTAATGTACATTGATGAGCACCAAATGCGTTAATATCCAGAAGCTATGCATTTCACGATTCACGGGATTCGTAATATTCTTCAGTGGATTAGCGACTCTTAGCTTCGTAAGAAGGGGTCGGCATCTTGAGTTAGGCAGGATTTTGTGAGTACGGTAATGAACAATCAGGTTTAATTGGATTCCACAGAGGTCGGGAAATTTGCTGAGTAGCTCAGCGACTGTTAGATAGGGGCTCTTTACATAGAATTGTGAACACGGTGGTGAACTCCCAGGGATGGTCACATGTGGGATATTCCTTGAGTAGCTGCACATGATGGAGTGCGGTTTCTGTATCAGAGTAATGGTGTCCCCCGAGAGGAGACGCAAATGTGAAGAGCGTACACTGAAGCAGTTGAACGCTGTCTGCTGTCTGAAAACGTAAAAATTAGAATATAGAAAACTCTGATTTTGCCTGCCGTTCTGTATGGGCTTGAACCTTGGTCTCTGACAGAAAGGGAGGAACCGCACCATTACCCTGGGGTCGACTCAGCCTCTAACAGAAATGAGTACAGGGAATATTCCTGGGGTTAAATGGCGGGCGGAGCGTAAGGCTGATAACCTCACCGCCATCTGTGAGGCGATGGGAGCCTCGACGTCTCACAACCTTATGGACCTTCACGGCGTGCTACAGAGATACTTGTATTGATATAGTACGCATTGGGAGGAAGTGAACGCATGTAGGGTTGTCATGGGAAAGCCAGTAGAAAGGCCTAGACATAGGTGTGAGGATACTCTACGCCATGAAGACGTATGGGGGAGTGGAAGTATACACTCCCGTGTTGGAGGTTAGTGGTCAGCTTCACACTTCGGGCGCTTTACCCCCCGGGGAAAGAGCCCCAGGTACCCATTGAATAGGAGGCTGGATGGGCCCCAGATTGCGCGATCCCTGCTCTCTTCCTACGCAAGGTAAAATTATGAAGATATCCGTATTTGAGAACTGAGGTTTTCACGAAGATGGCTGTGACTATTACGGTCTTGGGGAAGTTGACACTGTATAATTTGGCGTAGGTACCAACGTGATGGAGAGGAACCTCGTGTCTCCATCGTCCACGCCACCTAAACGTACCGAGCTACGAAAGTAGACGGCATCGCATTCCACAAGACAACAAACCTTCGGTGATTATGAGTGCAGGTGTAAGTGAAACAAGGTGACCACAATATTTGTGGTTACACCGCCACACAGATGCAGCGGTGGTACACATTCAAGTGTTAGCTCTGTTGAGACCTTTTCCGGATATTACGAAACAAAGTCCTTCTATTGTTTCTGAGGTGTGTCCACATTTCTTTTACTTTCGTTTGATAGCCTGTATCCTGTCGAAGCTCGTCTGGTAGAAGTTCACGTAGCCGAATTTTGATTCCCTCCCCCCAAACGTTGGGAGGGAGGCCCACAATTCGGAGATAAAATCGGCGTACCGGAAATCTTGCTGAACACGCAGGACTTCCGTCAAGGTGTGACGTACCGTTAGAGGTGTTTGGACGGTATCCGGTCAGTGGTTGATATTTAAGTCTGCTGTTGTGCGAGTACCAGTTTCGTCTCCTGTGGTTCTAACTGTAAACAGAACTTAGGTCGTTGTCCTATCAGGGGGGAAAACTTAACGCTCACCTGTGAGGTGAGGTTACGTTGCGCATCAGGACCGAGAACGTGGTGTCATTAGCGCAGGTGTCCAAAACTGTATAGACGGTCACTACGGGGGTGTTTCTGTTCTCGTATACACGGTCTCTGGGTTGCACGTCTGGAGAGAAGTGGTGGGGGCAACGGTTTTAGCTGCGTTTATTTTAGGCGGGAGGAATGGTGACGTAAACTGGATATGCTAACACACATACACATCCTCCAATCCTGAGCAATCCTCAGAGGCGCTTGTACGTAACTCGGTGGGCCGTCACGCTAAGCAAGACCGCACCGGAGAGATGCAATTTCACGCCGCCAGAGCAAGTTTCTGGAGAGCATTCTTGCAGTGACTGAACGCGTCTTGCTTCCGAGTGAGCACGTGTTACTTACAATTCGTTGCCAGTGTACATCCCCTTAAATATTGGCGCTCCTTGCACTCATTGGATGGGAGGTTGAGCGAGCCCCGAACACTGACTGGATGTCGTGGAGAAATAAAAACATCTTGCCACTGGCGGAATTCTAACCTTGGTCATCTCTCCTGTTGCCTAGTCACTGTACCGAGCTCTGCAACTTCCCTGGTCAAATGTCGCGGTAATACTTGCCAGGTCTCTGCCTTTCACATCCTTAACGGTTCATTATTCGACGGTATATAGTCTGAGCTACCGACACCGTGTAACTGAAGAATCTCCCGCTGTTAGAGCCGTTGCCAGGAAACAGCTGATGAAAACTGAACGTGCTGGAAAAACGCTTAGCGGGCACTGTAATGGTTTGTAAAGTGTGGAAATTAGCAATTAGCTCTGTAATTACTTTTAGTTCCTAGTGGTGTGTATAAGTGGTCAGTGAATCAATTTACCAGTCCATACCCCCGTCTGTAATGACACACAAATCGTGACGTTCTGGTGTCCGAAGTCACGAATATACTCTGAATGTGGAGGCAGCAGGTTCCTCCGAAACATCGGAATGTGTGAGAAGACCGTAGTTTTTAGTTAATATGTTAAAGCCGAGCAGTTTAGCGTCGCGGTATATGTTTGTATTCAGGAGGTTCTGGGTTCGAATCTCAACCGGGACACCTGTTTTTTCTCCTCAGCCCCTGCAGACGTGCCTGGATAATGCGATAATTAGGCCACGGTCGCGTCTTCCCAATTCAGTGTACTCACCAGTCCACCTTGTTGTATTCCGCGCTGTTTAGCCTGGGAGACTGACGGCGTCGTTAAACAAATCACAAAACGTTGAAATCTTAAAAACTATTTTGTGTCTTTTGTAAAGGGGCACGCGGTAGCGTAGTTGGTTGAGTCACTGTGCTACAAGCTGGAAGGTCGCGGGTTCAAGTCTCGATGAAGTAATTGGATTTTTTTCATTTGGCCTGATTTCCAGCCGCACTATGGTCCTGGGGTCGACTCAGTCTCTAACAGAAATGAGTACCAGGAATATTCTTGGGGGGTAATGGGAGGCTGGCGTGTAAGGCTGACCTCACCGCCATCTATGAGCCAAGTGTCTAGAAAATGTGGGAATCTCAACATCTCACAACCCTGTGGGTCTCTACGGCCTGCTACAGGGATAGCTTTACCTTTTTCTTTTTGTCTTTTGTAATTGTGTGTTTTACGTATGGAAGGCTCTGAACATAGAGCGCCCCGCACCGTCAGTTAACTTGGGTGAAGCCGGCCGACGTGTTTACAAAGAAATGAAGGGTGGTCAGATTTATTTCTCTCGGTGACAGTTATACCGTGGAAACGTAGAGAAAAGCTGTGTAGAGCTGAAGTTTCCGAAGACAGAGATTGCAGGCCGTTTTTCCAGCTTCGTTTCTGTGAACTCAGCCGTCAGAGTGCTTTCTGTTATCTTCCGAGAATCGCGTATTCACTGACGCGTGCAGACACAGGCGCGTGTGGCGTGACCTGTACAGCTTCCCTGCAGATCTTTTGCAGTTCATCATTTATCGTACCATTGCATGCAGAAATAATGATGCTCTTGCCCAGGGTCAGAATTGTTTCTTCTTCCCTAACGACGCCGGCGGTAGCTGCAACTATAGCGTCGAATGACATCATCAGCGAATGGTGATTCTGGAGGTACCGTGGAAGGACGAGATCGTGGCCGATATTGAAGGAGAATTGTCATTGGTCCAGCTGATATTCGAACCGGACACTACCCGAATGCGAGTCTAGAGCATTGCCGGCTGAGCCGGCGTGATTGGTGGAAAATGTTATCGAACAAACGTAGAGACAGATGATTTCACGCTTCTATGACCAGTATACTGTCACGTGTATTAGTGACTTTAGACGGGGTTCGGATTGACAATTGGATTTATTGATCACTTCCGACAAGTCGTAACTTTTTGATCACTCCAACACTGAATGTTCTCAGTTTGCGTTCACAAGTCGTCACTGTCCGTTTCCTGGCAACGGATTTATCACGTCTCACAGTAACTTCAAATATCAGCTCACACACTAACTCTTCTAATTCCTTTATTGCCATCACCTTCGGCCTAAACAATTTTAGAATTTTCTGTGTACGCGGTTTTAGGGGACCCGGCGTAGCGCAGTAGGTATAGTGACTGGCTGTGAGCTGGACGACAGAGGGGTCGGAGTTCGAGTCCCGGTAAGGTCAAGAATCTTCTCTACGTCGTCCGGACCGGTTCTGGGGCTCACCCAGCGGTGAGGCGATCGGGGCGCGTGTTTGTGCATACACTCCCCCATACGTCTTCATGGCACAGTGCTTGTGGGAGCAAGTAAAACAGTACAACACACAGTAGCCATATTTATTCTCTCTCTCTCTCTACATAGAGGTTGCAAGTTAGGAGAGGAACGTATTACATAGAGGAAGCAATGTGATGGTGGTGCAGTTGTACTTAAGAGACGTCAGTCCTCCACATCCTCCCCACCCTGGTCGATCTCCAGTGGGATGACCAGCTGCACAGGTCTGCTGACGTTGGTACCGTTGGCGGTCCGGAGGATAACTGTCCGCACCTTTCCGTCCCGGCCAGGTCGCGTTTCGTGGATTCGAGCCTTCTGCCACATGTGCCGTGGTCGTAGATCGTCCTGAAGTAAAACGATATCTCCTACACGATATTCCTTAGATCTTTCTTTAGGGCGCCGTACCTGGTGATAACTTCGCAGTTCGAGGAGATACTCCTTCTGCCACCGCTTTAGGAAGTCTTCCTGCATTTTCTCCCTAAGTCTGGCTTCTTTTCTGAGGTTGTCTCGGGTGGTGGGCTCCGGACCGGTGGGCAATGCCGTCAAGCGTTCACCATTTAGAAAGTGACTTGGCGTCAGCACATCAGAGTCGTCTTGAACGATTGGTCTAGAGTTTATGGCGGCTTCTACTTCCACTAACAGTGTTCCAAGGGCTTCTTGATTGATTTGGCTTTTACCCAACACCTTTCTTAGGCAACGTTTTACTGTTCCAACCATTCGTTCCCAGCAGCCTCCCCACCAAGCCGCCCGTGATGCGATGAATTTCCACGAGATACCATTGTGGGCAAAGTGCTGGCTTGTTCGTTGGTCGGCAAAAACCTGACTAAGCTGTGATAACTCCTTGTTAGCAGCGTGGAACGTCCTCGCGTTGTCAGAGTATATGGTGTGTGGGATTCCTCTTCTTCCGGAGAACCGTCTAAAGGCCATTAGAAACTTGTCGGTACCCATATCCGAGGCAAGCTCAAGATGCAGAGCTCTGGTTGTTGCGCAGGTGAAGAGTACGATGTAAGCTTTCTGTGTCAGGCTCCCCACCTTGACATAGAGGGGACCTGCGAAATCAACACCGGTGACAGTGAAGGGCTTAGTGGGTTTGAGACGATCGGCTGGCAGTGGTGCTTCAATTTCTTGGCCTCGGGTGTTTTTCGCAATTTTGCAGGGCAGGCAGTGGTGTAGTGCCTTTTTTATCGTCTGTCGGGCTCTCAGGATCCAAAATTCATCTCTCAGCTCTGACAACACCATGCGAAGTCCGAGATGATGTAGGCGAATGTGTGTCTGTTGTATTAGCAATTTCGTGAAGTGATGTTGCCCATCGAGTAGGAGTGGGTGACGCTGCTCTCTCGTTAGCGGTGCAAAGTGTAGCCGTCCGCCGAGACGAATGAGTCCAGAGTCTAAGAATGGGTTGAAACAAGCGATTTTGGATTCTTCCGGTAGTGGTGTGTTGTTCCGAAGTGCATAAAGCTCGATAGCGAAGCATTCCTCTTGTACAGTCTGAATCCAGTAGGCACGAGCCGCCGCGAGTTCCGCCGCAGTCAGTTCGCCTCGAAGTCTCTCTCGGCGGAGTAGTGATTGTTTGAAACGAAATATCCAAGCGGTCGTGCGTATCAACTTCCAGTAGGAACTGAATCTCGTAGCATCTATCAATGAAGAATGAATTCCCAAAAGAAGAACTGGTTGGGTCCACGGGCGTTTTTCGTCTGGCAGCGGGCTGCTTGAAGTGGGAAGGTTCTTGGGCCATTCTCGCGGAGGAAGAGATAGCCATGAAGGTCCATGCCACCATTTATCCAAAGTCTTCAGTCGATCTGCTGTGATTCCCCTCGAAAGATGATCCGCTGGATTGCTTTCTCCAGGGCAGTGTCTCCATTGCGAAGGCGTAGTGCACGTTTGTATTTCCGTAACCCTGTTGCATACGAAGGTTCTCCAGCGGTTTGGGTCTTCACGTATCCAGCCTAAGGTCACCATGGAGTCAGTCCAAAGAGTTGCTGCTTGACTGTGGAACCCCGTCTCCCGACAGTAATAGCGTAGCAGCCTGGCACCTATCAGTGCTGCGAGGAGCTCCAGTCGTGGTAAGGTCACCTTCTTTACAGGCGCAAGTCTGTTTTTGCTGCAGACCAGCTGGACCCTGACCCGGTCCTTACCCTCCGTTCTGATGTATAGTGCCGCACCATACGCCCGTTCGGAGGCATCGCAAAAGACATGGATGTGAGAATCACCATCTTCCGAAGTGTGTACACAACGGGGAATATGTATGCTTGATAAGGATGGTAGTGTCGCTACCCACGTGTGCCACTGTAGTCCAAGGTCTTGTGGTAGGAGTTCGTCCCAGTCCATCCCTCGACACCATGTATCCTGGAATAATCTTTTCCCAATGATGGAAACAGGCGATGCTAGGCCAAGGGGATCATAAAGTGTGGCCGCGGCTTTCAGCACGTTCCTTTTTGTGGTGGGTCCTTTTGCTACCTTGTTTGTAATGACCTCATGGTCGATGGAGAATGTATCGGTTTCTGTATTCCAATCGACGCCCAATACTTGGGTTTCTGCGTCGAATCTCTGTCCCTCAGCAGTCCAAACTGTTTTCAACTGCGCGGAATTTGAGGCCCATTTTGCCATAGGGAGTCGAATTTGTTTCATAAGGGAAGTAAGCTCGTAGTACAGTGCGATTACCTCAACTTCGTTTTCTGCCCCTGCGGCGAAGTCGTCGACATATGTGCTGTTGACCATAAGGGATGCAGCATGGGGAAACGTCTGCTTGTAACGATCAGCAAGCTCTCGCAGAGTAGCGGCAAGCAGAAAAGGACTGCAAGTCAGGCCAAAAGGAAGCCTTTTGAAACGGTAAGTTGTTATGTCGCTTGTAGTTTCGTAACCATGTTCATCGTCGCCAACCACTCGGTACCAAAGGAATCTCGTTAAGTCCCTGTCATCTTGATCTAGGACAAGCTGTAAAAATGCCTGGCTGACATCGCCAATAATCGCTGACGGGTATAGTCTGAATCTCAGAAGAATGGACAAGGTTTCTGGAAGAAGGTTTGGTCCCATCTCCAGAGCGTCATTGAGTGAGGGCGCGTATTGTTCACGCGAGGACCCATCAAACACGATCCTCCACTTGATATTCCCACGCCTTTCCTTCTTTACCAGATGGTGTGGCAGATAATAACTCTCCTTAGAGTCTTGTATAGGCTCGGCGATTTCCACATGACCCTTTCTTACATAATCTAGCATTTGCGAGTAATAAACTTCCTGCAGACCTGCATCTCTTTCAAGTCTCTTCTGCAGTGTCTGAAATCGTTTTTCTGCATTCTGGCGATTGGTCGGTAGGGTCATATTCTCCTTTCTCATAAGAGAAACTACTCTTCGCCTGTCTTCAATGCGGTGGGAGTTGTGGAATCGCTGGAGGATGGCAGTGTCCTTTGCACCTAAAGATCGGTCTTGGTCTGGCGAGATTCCGATGACATCCAAATCCCATAGGCGTCGAAAATCATCATCTGAATGAGGGACGCAGTGGTCCGACTCAATGTAGTTTACGACTACCGAGCTGACGGTGATCCCAGATCGGTTTCCACTGAGTACCCAACCCAGCTTGGACGGGATCAGTACTAGTGATTGCGACAGTCGTACTGGCATATCATTTTTGACTATCTTCCAGTAATGGTCACCTCCGATGAGAATCTCGATAGGAAGATCGTCGTTGTCGTCCTTCGGGTCAGCGAGTTGCATTTTGCGTGTGCGTCCCAAAACGTCGACGTCATGCGGTACAGTCGGGTGAGCTGAGAAGGCGTGAGCACTCTCAAACGCAGTGATGGATGTTGTAGAGTTAGTCCAGATACCCTTTAGATCCAATCGGACGAGTCTACGTGGATTTGAAAGAACAGATGGCATCTCGAAGGCGCTAACTGCTAGCTGTCGACTTTCAATTGTTTCTAACTTCAGGTCCTCTATTATTGATTTCGTGATGAAGCTGGATTGGCTGCCGCCATCCAGCACGCATCTAGTCAGTTTGCTTATACCTGTAGGCCCCCTAACCCAGACACGTGCGGTCTGCAGGTAGGTAAAATCAGAAGAGGCAACTCCTACATTGCCGACTGAGATGGGTGGTTGGGCAGTATTGTGTTCCGTGCTGTTGCATATGGATCTGTGGTGACTCCTCTTGCAATTCGTGCACAATGCTCTTCCTTTCTTGCTACAAGTGCGGGCATTGTGGCCTCGATTGAGGCAAATAAAGCAGCGGTTTGCGGCCTTCAGCTTCTCTATGCGGCTGCGAGTATCAGTGACAGTATCGCAGTCTTGGGCCCAGTGGCGGCGGCTCTCGCAAAAGACACAGAAGGGTTCCGTAGGTCCTTTAATTCTTCGAATATTCTTCTGGGTTTTCGAGCTGATGTGGAAGGTCGCCGCCGCTGGAGTGAGGTTACAAACGCTCAAACTCTCGCCGCGAATTTTCTGGGTGGTTAGGGCTCCCTCTACTTCAACGCTCAGAAACTCCATTAATTTTATGATATCACCCTCAGAGAGCTGTTCCCTCTTCACGTGAACGATCCATCTCCTGCATACATCGTCAGGGAATGCGCGAAGTATTTTTGGCGCCAGTACTCTACCGTAGGCGTTAACGTCTTCCCCTATCGCCTGGAGGGCCTGGATACGTCTGTTACACTCTATGAACGTAGTATTGAGAGCTTCGGGGGACGCGGTCGTAATCGGCGTGACGTCTTGTAGGTAGTCTAGGTGGGCCTGTATTATGCGGTTCCGGTCCCCATACCGTTCGCGAAGAATCTTCTTGGTGTCCTCATATGTTGATGCTGAGACAGAGATGCCCTCTACCAACAGCTTCGGCTCTCCCTCAAGATAGCCTCGAAGAAATACGTGTTTGTTAACAGCCGAGAGGGATGGGTCCTTATCAATGGATGACTCGAATTGTTCCCAGAAACGTGACCAGCTTTCCACGTCTCCTGAGAAGGGCTCTAACTTGATGGGAGGTAATTTGACCGAATGAACAAACGATGGGGTGGGAACAGCCGCAGCGGAGGTCTCACTGATTGTTAAGTCGGCCGTTGCCGCAGAAAGCCTCTTGTCGATCCCTCGCACTGCCTTCTGGATCGCGCGCTTGGCGGTGTCGATATATTCTTCACAAATCGCCACGTCTGTGTCGTATTCATCATCCGCAATGAGGTCGTGGATGGAGTCGTCCAGTCGCAACATACGTTCTAACGCTTCCTCGACGCGTCCCTTGTAATGTTCATAATCTTCAAGGGAAGTCTCTCCTGTGAACGAGTTAAGTGAATTGGCGAAACGCGTAATGTTATTTCGCTCCCTTGTACGTTTCCTCTTAAGGTTATGTAGTTGTTCTACGTCGGCCATTATGAAAATCGTACACTAGTTCTCCCTCCTCGTGATAGTCGCTTGAAGTGGTGTATGTAGTACTGTTAGTTCTACCTCCCTCTCAAAGATGGCGGGATACTCGTAAGTTGTGTTACCGACCGATTTTCTGGTAGTTCCGCTTTCCTCCACCAGGTACGTGACGGGTTCTGCAATGCGTTTCTACGTTATGGAGTTACTTGCCTCGTGTCTGAAGATCCTGGCGTCTTTGTGTTTCTCTGTCCAAACCTCTACTCACCCAGTTTCTTCACTTGAAAATACACTCCACGACTTTCACAGTAATAACAATACACTCTTACACTATCACGTCACGTAATGGCTCGCTAGTCCCGGGTTTCGGCACCAAAATGTGGGAGCAAGTAAAACAGTACAACACACACAGTAGCCATATTTACTCTCTCTCTCTCTCTACATAGAGGTTGCAAGTTAGGAGAGGAACGTATTACATAGAGGAAGCAATGTGATGGTGGTGCAGTTGTACTTAAGAGACGTCAGTCCTCCACAGTGCTTAATTAGTTAAGCACGGGGGTAACTTAGTTGCATGGGTTTAGAGGTAATGAACCGGAGGGAAGTTAACAGTTACAGCAATCTCCCTGAACACGCCTAGAGGCAACCGAAATTTTGGCTCAGCACCACTTTGTTGGACCTTGGCCGCTTTTTCAAGTTCTTGGTCCTTGGGACAGTCGGTAGTGCTCCTTGGATGGGGATCAGCCAGTCGCCAGGCCGCTACCTAGACACAGGACAACACAAACACAGACATCCATGCCTGGAGTGGGATTCGAACCCACCATCCCAGTGTTCGAGCGGGCGACGACCGCGCGGCCACTGTGATGGACTCTATAAAGACGAGGAAGAGCAGAGAGCAGGATTCTTAGGAAACAGTTTCGGTCTTTTCTGGTATTACAAAACAGATTGATTCCATCGTTTGAAAATCCCCCCCCCCTTTTTTTCTTCCTCTTGGTTGAACATTTGAGAGAAATTCATCCTGTCAGTTGCTGTTTCCGATATCTTGCGTGTTCTTTAAATACCTTTTTTATTTCTGGCAATTGTAGTTTTCTCGTAATTTCGTATCTAAAGGGTCGTGTCGCGCAGCCGTTGCAATGAAACTCATTTTTGCTGATGTTAGTGTTTTTTGTCCGTGGTTTAGTGCCGCGAGATACGTATATGTCTAGGCGTAGGATTTGCCTCTCTGGGCTGGATAACGAAGTTCCTGCATGTTGTGAAGGGGACAGGACATCAAATCAAGAAACGGCACAGATGAAGTAACAGTTCTGGCTACGTGTTACGCTTGTTGCTCTCTATGTCCTGTGTTGCACAGTGCAACAGGACGCTGCAATTCAGAATTTCAGAATAGCAGTGTATAAACGAAACTCGATAGAACATTTTGAAAAAAGTGCGTTCTGGCCGTAGGCCGAAATAGATTGGTGAGACACCGACCAACACGACAGAGAACTTCGTTGGAAGATGGAAAATTATATAAAGCCTGGTTAGGCGCCGATCACAGTGGCCGCGCGGTCTAAGGCATGAACCGTCTTCACCCGCTCGAACACTGGGATCGTGGGTTCGAATCCCACTCGAGGCATGGATGTCTGTGTTTGTGTTGTCCGTGTAGGTAGCGGCCCTGCGACGGGGTGATACCCCGTGCAAGGAGTCCTGCCGACTGAAATGAAACGAAGCGTTTCACGAATGCCCTATGCACCAATCAGGAGCAACAGGAGTAATGACATGGGTAGACTGGTCTAAGGAGTGTTCTGTGAATTCATATTCTTTTATGCTTAGAAGTAAGTTATGGTTTGAAATTTATAATACGTATTTTGGCACAGTAGTGTAGTTGGTTGAGGCACTACTGCTATAACCCGGAAGGTCGCGGGTTCGAATCATTGGATTTCTCATTTGACCTAATCCTTCCAGCAGCACTGTGGCCCTGGGGTCGACTCAGCCTCTAACAGAAATGAGTACCAGGAATCCTGCTAGGGACCTCATCGCCATCTGTAAGCTGACTCCGGAAAATGTGAGAACTTCGACGTCTCAAACGTATGGGCCGCCACGGCCTGTAGCAGGGATAGCTTTACCTTTTCTTTACAATCATCTCCAGTTTCCTGCACTCAATGTGGGGGTGTGTTAGTGATGAGGTCAGTCTAGCGATAGGCTTCTCCACTTGCGTCTAGGAGGTACTCGGTTAGAAACTCGGTCAGGACAGAGGCTAATCTGACTAGTTCGCATGGTTCTCTCAGTCCCTTCAGCCAAATGCCAATATACATAGTGTCTTGGGAAGGACACGGCCGCTTGGGTCCAAGTCCTTACCAATTTATCGTTCGTCAGCCGTACCATTTAATACTATATAGTCCGAAGTAAAATAAACCATAATAGGGACTG